TAAGAGTCCCATGTACGATCGATTTTTAGATCGAGTGGAAAATTGTGGATGCATCGGTGTTTTTCGCACATCCTTATCTCTGGTTGCATTTATACTTTCCGAACGCTTTCTAAAAGATGCCAAAAATTTTTTTCTGTGCCGTATTACATTTGTTGGCGAATTTGAGGAAATTTGTGCAAATTAAGAATAAATAAGAGAATAATTTATAAATATTTACTTGCTGATTTGAGAAAACATATAAATACCACGGATAGTGCAGATAATTGATTTGAAGAAATGCCCCAACGCCGGATCGGGAATCGTCGAGAAAATGGTAGAGGGGGTGGTGGAGGAGGTAATATGCGTGATGGTGGGCGTGGCAGAGGCGGAGCTGGTAGAGGACGCGACGATGGTGTACGTTCTGGACGTGTAGAGAAGCGCTATGATGATCGGGGCCGTCGGGGTGGGGGTGGAGGAGGTGGTGGTGGTAGTGGTAGCAACAACGATTTTGCCGGTGAGTTAACTGCTATAGAAAAATTTGGTATATACACATGATTCAATTAGCCTGTTCCCGTACTTCACGATTTGCAGGATTTGCAGGTTTTACAGGAACAGCTGTTTTCGCCTTTAATAAACCTTATGTGAACGTGGCTACGGGAACGACTTTGGACTAAATCCTGCAAGACCTGCAAATCGTAGACGTTCTGGAACGCAATAAATAATTATACATTAATACATTGCGTTTTAAAATCATTAAAATACAAATTTAAGAGTTCTGGAAAATAAATGTAAACAAAAGAAAATACAACGGTTTTTAAATTTCTGTGCGTTTGTTTTCTCCATGTACATATCGATGGTCCTGTACAATAACGACACAATTCAAAATTAAAAAAATATAACTTACTACTGTTAAGTGGCCCATGCCTCTAGTCCTTGTCGAATCCATGTCTAATCTTTTGTACTTACTTAGACTTAGACAAAGATTAGAGACAAGAGCCACTTAACAGTAGTAACAGTTTAATTTTTTTAAATTTTGAAATGTGTCGTTATTGCACAGGACCATCGATATATCGAATTGTGTTTTTCAGGACTACGCAGCGTAAACTGGTCAGACCTACGCCTGCCTCCCTTCCAGAAAAACTTTTATCAGGAGCATCCAAAAACGCGCAATCGCCCACCACACGAAGTAGAAAGATACCGCACAGCGCACCAAATAACCCTTCGTGGCCCAGCACCCAATCCCATACAATACTTCGACGAAGCTTGCTTCCCCGACTATTGTCTCAACGAAATAAGACGTCAGCGTTATACGGAACCAACGCCTATACAGGCACAAGCATGGCCAATCGCAATGAGCGGATGCAATCTCGTCGGTATCGCTAAAACGGGCTCTGGAAAAACACTGGCTTTTACTCTCCCCGCTATAGTACACATAAACAATCAACCCCCGTTGCAACGCGGTGATGGTCCTATTGCATTAGTCTTGGCGCCAACGCGAGAATTAGCACAACAAATACAAACAGTGGCAAATGATTTTGGGTCTAGTGTTTACGTCCGAAATACATGCATATTTGGTGGGGCACCTAAAGGCAAACAAGCAAGTGACCTCGAGCGTGGTGTCGAAATTGTGATTGCAACTCCCGGACGATTGTTGGACTTTTTAGCAACGGGTGTTACAAATCTGCGGCGCTGTACATACTTAGTGTTGGATGAAGCCGACCGCATGCTGGATATGGGATTTGAACCACAAATACGGAAAATACTCGGACAAATAAGACCGGATAGACAAATATTGATGTGGAGTGCCACATGGCCAAAAGAAGTGAGGCAGCTTGCTGAAGATTTTCTTGGATCATATGTACAGGTGTGTTCATAACTTTATTTTTTACACCAAATTTTTTGTTCTATATTTCTTCTGTGTATAGTTCTAAGGTAATACTATTAGTTGGGTACATTTTCACTAGTAATTGAAGAGAGATCTCCCTATGTGAGGAATAAAAGATTACTCCTTTTAGCCTGATTTCGGAGTAATAACAGAGATTGTTGTTGCTGTAACAGCATATAATTTCCCAAAGGGTTGTGGAATGATCCTGGAATGAAAGTCCTTGGCCAGATATGAATCTGGGTCGTTCCGATTACGTAGACCCGACTGTCGTGTGAACGAATAAGAGAGATTTGTCGGTTTTAACCTCCTTTGTAACTCGATTAGAGGCGTTGGGGGATCTCCTGGGCGAGCAATCAAAGAATGCCCTCTGAGGCACGATTAGAGAGCGATAAGCGAGATTTTTCGGAGTTGTATTTCAATTGTATTTGAATTTATCTTTAATTTGACTACATAAATAAATAAATAAATAAATAAATAAATAATATTTAAAACTTAACAATACATGTGTTTCCAGGTAAACATCGGTTCATTGGAGCTATCCGCTAATCACAATATACGCCAATATGTTGACGTTTGCAACGAACACGACAAGGGCACAAAATTAAAAGATCTACTTTCTCATATCTATGATCAATCTCATGCTCCTGGAAAAATCATTATATTTGTAGCCACAAAAAAGAAAGTTGACGAATTGTCCAGATTTATAAATGGGTTTGGGGTGCGGGTAGGCTCAATACATGGCGATAAATCACAAGTTGATCGTGACAATGTGTTGACCGAGTTCCGCAGCGGTCGCTCGAATATTCTTGTCGCAACAGACGTGGCTGCACGTGGTTTGGATGTGGATGGTATCAAGTATGTGATTAATTTTGATTTTCCACAGTCGTCCGAGGATTATATACATCGAATCGGTCGTACTGGGCGGAAACATACCTCAGGAACATCGTATGCATTTTTCACACGTAAGAA